CAATCAGCTGGACTGTTCTGATTGTTGAAAGTCACAGGTTTGAATTCTGTGGTTGGTTCATTTTGTTTGTGTGCAGCTCATCTGTCGCTGTCCAGCCCCGAGCTCCTGTCGAAGCTGAAGGAGTCCAGGACCCGCCCCTCCGACACGTCCCCGCCACAACGGCCTGACCACTGTCTTCTCTGGACGAGGAGGACAGGTGAGCAGAGACAGAGACATGACCTGTGTCTCAGAGACGTTTTGTGTTTAATGTGACCAGCAGATGTTCCATGTTCATAACAGATGTTTTTCCACAGAAATGTTACTCAGGACAAAAACTCTCTCCCACTGAAACCACTGACACTGCATGATGTTGATCTCTCTGCACCACAACATAAAATCACACAGTGTTTAGTCTCATTCTCAAGCTCCGCCTCCAGAGTTTCAGTTTCCACATGTGAGAGTTTTATTGTATTTTACCTTTAATCTCAGATTCCTGATTTTATATTGAAAATGTTTTCATATTAAAGCGACATGAGATTCACACGTGACCTGAATCCTCTTCCATCACAGAGAAACAGGAAGTTGTTGTTACTGTCATCTGGAGGTAAAAAACAGGATGATGATGATCTTCTTCTCTTCCAGGCCTCTGGTCCCGCCCTCTCCACACGACCAGCCAATCAGAGGACTTCACACTGACTATCAGCTCCTGGACCTTAAACCCTCATGGACTCATAAATCCTGTTTTAACAATCATTTCCTACATCGTGTCAAACTTAAACTGAACAGTTGATACCAGGAGTTTGAAATAAACAAGATTTCATTTCATTGGCCTGATCGCCTGTTCCACTCCAAATATTAGTCCTGATAATATTTTATTAGATTCATTCGATCATATTAGAGACAAAATACTCAAATGTGTTTCTGAGCAGACTTAGTAATATTCAGTGAATGTTTTACGGTTGAGTGTAGGAGAGAACAGCTGGCCAGATGTGTTTCTAACAGGTTGGCTGAGAACTATCCCACACTGATCACAGCTGTAGTTTCTCTCCACTGTGAGTCCAACCCCATATATATGGAAGATATATATATATATCTATATAGATATATATATAGGATTAAAAAGACAAAAACATGTGCTTTAGGAACTTTATTCTTTATCGAAACAGAAAAAAAAATGTGTAAATTTAGTTAACAGAAAAAAAATCCAAAGTTCTGATTTCAGGTTGTTGGTCAAACAGCAGAAGGTTCTGAATGTACAAGAGAAACAGGAAGTCAGTGATCTGCAGTCCGCTGTCGTCAGTGAGGCGCTGACCAGAAAACACATTCCTGTGGTTTATTTGATGCTAAACTAATTAGCCACAAAGCTAGCTGAGCTATGACTTGTAAGACTATTAGAATAAAACATTAAACTGATTCTGCCGGATGATGTCATGACAAATTAAAAAAACTTCAGTGTCAGTCGCCTCAGTGAGTCGTGGAGATGTAATGTGACTGAAGAAGGTCTGACCCTCACAGCTCGAACACTGTGTCTGTGGGTCAGGAACATTACAGCAGACAGGTCTTACCAACAGTAAGAACAGTCTGTTTCTCTCTGGTGTGAATGTGTCGGTGGCCGTTTAACTGAGACTTGTACCTAAAAGATTTCCCACATTGGTCACAGCTGTACGGTTTCTCTCTGGTGTGGGTGCGTTGGTGAGCTGCCAAACTAACTGTACTCTTGAGTCTTCCCACATTGGTCACAGCTGTGCAGCCATTGCCTAGCATTTGGTCCATTATCATGGAGCAGCCCTAAAAAACTCATATGATTATACAACATCAATGAAACATGTTCTACAGTGAGTTATNTTCCCACATTGGTCACAGCTGTACGGTTTCTCTCTGGTGTGGGTGCGTTGGTGAGCTGCCAAACTAACTGTACTCTTGAGTCTTCCCACATTGGTCACAGCTGTGCAGCCATTGCCTAGCATTTGGTCCATTATCATGGAGCAGCCCTAAAAAACTCATATGATTATACAACATCAATGAAACATGTTCTACAGTGAGTTATAAAGATTATTATTATTGTCAGTGAGTCAGGATTCAGTAAAGTGGAGGAAACCAGTTGGCCTGGCGCTGTGTGTCTGAGTGGTGTGGTGATGGTGGTGATGGTTTTTCAGGCTCCTCAATTTACCGAAAGCTTTCCCACACTGGTTTCCGACACCCAGGTCGGGGCAGCAGCTGAATCACGTTTGGTATGACTTGGTGCTACACAAATAAAATGGACTGAACATTATTTGAGTGGTTTAGTCCAACCGGTTCTCCACAAATATATTTGTTTATGTTTATATTCACATTAGAGAAGGAAAACCAGGAATAAAAACCGTTGAGTTACTTTTAAACTAGAGGCCTATTAATTCTGTGACTGGACTAATTGGTGAATTGACGAGAGCGGTCCGTCTGCAGACTGTAAGAGAGGGGATGTAACTCAGAGTTGTCCAGGTGAATTTCTCTATGATTTCCTGAGTATCACTCGTTGTCCTGCTGTGATCCCGGCTGTGACTCATATAAACAGAGACTTTCTATTTGATGCGTCATAATTGATGAGCAGCAGAAAAGATGACGTATGTGTGGGAATAAATAAAAACACATGGGAATAAACAGATTTGGAGTTTCTCTGGATAAAAAGCTTAATAATGTTTATATTTTATTGTTTGTATATTTGAGGGTTTAGGATCTACTAGAAGAAGAAATATAAGTTTTGTCTCCAGTTACTCAGAATCATCATAGTTTGGACAGTAATCAGTTTTCCATGAGGAGGAGTGTGTGAAAGTCAGGTTTATGTGAACTGAATTACTGACGCGGTGGAAAATACTTCATTCATTCATCAAGAATTGTTAATAACTAGTGAGTAAAATTACTGACATAAATAAAAATAAACGTTATTTTTATCCAGAAAAACTGCGGCTCCTCCGTTTATTCCTGTTTGTTTACAGGGCGGTCTCACCCGGTCCAACATGGCGGCGTCCACGTGTTTATGTCTATGAGAGTCACGTTGTTGCTGTTTGTCTCCTTTCTCTTCACCTGAGATCCACTCTGTTGGTCACGTGACTCGTTTCAACATGAGCCCGGGAAAACATGAATGAGGCTGAAGTATCTGAGCAGCTTCATGATCAGAGCTGAGACATGACGTCCCATAATTCCTTGCTGCAGGAACATTTAAAACCACAGCGGAGCTACAAACGTAGAAACACTTTAACTCTGTCCAGATTTTAGTAACAATATCATCATAACAAAGTATTATAAACATAAATGTCATTTCATGTCAGGAAACTCACGTCTGAGTGTCTGTTTTAATGGCTGAACTTCCTCCATGTGCCATGAAGGTCAGTCTGATTCTTTTCCTCCGTTTCTCCTTCACGTCTTTGACCTCATGATGTTTTCCATCAAGGACAGAGAGGAAGTTATTCTGACTTCTCAATCGCAGCCTGAACCTTTGCTGAGCTCCTCCCCCTTAGTTACTGTTGCTAAGGCATCTGATTGACCGTCAACTCTCGTGTGTGGAGTAAAATGGTCAAACCATGATCAGATCATTTTTCAGCTGGAAAAATAAATATATGGCAGTTAAGTTAATTAAGACAAGATTTGACAAGAGCAGGTTTATTGAAGGGGAATGAACAGCTGAAGGAACACGACAGTGGAACAGCAAAGACACAGTAATAAATAAATAATTATAAAACATATGTAAAGTATCTTATATTCCCTGTGAGATAAATAAATAAAAACAAACATTATAAAGATGGGGAGTGACATCATAAAACAAACGAAGCTACATGAGTAGACAGCAGGGACACAGTCCAACGCGTTGCCGTGGTGATGGAAATCAAAGATCACTAAGCAACATGTAACAACAGCTACGTCAGCTCTTCAGGAAACATGTCGCTCTGAACGTTGCTACGACACGTCTCTGTTGATATTTGCTTTAAGGACAATTTGATATCACTGAGGCGTCTGTGACTTCAGCACCACGGACAGCGTCACGGCTTCATCAATAACAGACGGAGGTTAACGACAGTCTGTCCGACACGTCTGAATGAACTGCAGCATCAGTCACATCATCAGGTGTCTTTAACAAACACAAGCCATGAAACTGCTGATGAAACGACTGAATAGAAACAAAATGACAGAGTCAAATAAGACAAAAATATTTCCTGCCAACTCTTTACACTGTAAAACAACCAATTCCAATAATGTCTGAACTTACACAAGTTGATTTAACATTGAAAACAACACGTACACACCCCTCACCACTACAGGCTGGGCAGTCACTCAGACAGTGTGAGAAACACTCAGTTTACAACATGAGTTTTATCTGATTTACTCACTTAGAGAACAGCTGGTCTAGAGAATAGAGACATGGTAGAAACTTGACAGAGGTTTTAACACCAAACAGAAGTTGGGGTTTGCAGCAGCAGAGCTGGAGTCCGGGCCGCCAGCTGAGCGGCGCCGCAGGAAGCTCATCCGTCTGTCCTCACAGCGTTACACCACCTTCAGTGGAACATGTTTGAGTATGGAGACGGTTCTTCGTGTCGCGCCGCCGGCCTGGACTCTGTGTTTCTAACTGCAGTGGACTTGTTGGTGGATCTTCAGGATACTGGACCTGCTGAAAGCTTTCCCGCACTGATCACAGATGTACGGTTTCTCTCCGGTGTGAATACGTTGGTGACTTTTTAAACTGCTCGGAATCGCAAAAGCCTTCCCACACTGGTCGCAGCCGTACGGTTTCTCTCCGGTGTGAACACGTTGGTGGGTCTTTAATCTAAATGAGTCTGTAAAAGCTTTCCCACACTGCTCACAGCTGTACGGTTTCTCTCCCCGCTGTGAACACGTTGGTGGGTCTTTAAATGACTTGAAGTTGTAAACGTGTTCCCACAGTGGTCACAGCCGTGCAGCTTCTCTTTAGTGCGTCTCTGTTTCTATAGTGACAGACGAACAAACAGAAAGAGAGAATCAGATCTCACAGTGGAGCGAGTCTTAAACCACATATGTTCTACGTCAATTTCACAACATCCTCAGACCAAAGCGTCAGAGCTCAGACATCAGATTAAACAGCATCATTTCTGAGACCAACTAGACTCACCTCTCCACTCAGACTAGCTCCAGGTCTAGTTCCTGGGGAAGATCAGCTGGTTCTTCCTGTAACATCAGCTTCACCCTCCCAGGTGACAGTGGAGTTTACTGGTGTGAGTCCAGAGAGGGAGCAACCAGTAACAGCATCAGCATCACTGTCACTGGTAAGATCAGACTGTGGAGTCAGTGTTGATGAAGCTGTATGTAAATGGATGAAATGCTGTAGTTTGTCTGTGTGTTGAGGTGGAGCAGTGATCCTGCAGAGTCCTGTCCTCCCTGTGATGGAGGGACATGATGTCACTCTGCACTGTAAAACAAAGACCCCTCCCTCCAACCTCCCAGCTGCTTTCTATAAAGATGGCTCCCTCATCAAAGAGACTACAGGTCACATGACCATCCACCATGTTGACAAGTCTGATGAAGGCCTCTACAGCTGTGACATCAGAGGTCATGGAGAGTCTCCGCCCAGCTGGATCACTGTCACAGGTCAGGGAACTCTTCTGACTCTATAAACCTGCAGAGAAATACGACAGGAGGGAGGAGAACAACATCCAGTGTTTTAAAATCCAGTAGAGGAGGAGGTGAGGTAGAGGCAGACAAGACGTCTCTCAGTGATGATGAGGAAACTTTGCAGCTTGTAACTTCTGTGGTATTTCTGTTGTGAGGCTCAGAGCCTCCTCTCTCCTGATTGGCTCAACAACCTGTTGTTACTAGAGCTCCAGAGAGAAGCCTGAGAGAGGAGATGTCAAACTACACTGAGATGGATTTTGGTTCTTCACATGCATCAACTCTGGAGCTTTAAAGCAGAAAACACAGGAAGCAAAGTTTACTCCAGGATCATAAAGTGATAGGTAAACACCTGAGAGTCCAGGTGTTCCAGACCTCTGCCTCCACACAGTGTGGTGTTCTACACACAGCTCCTGGTGCGTGGTTTGGTTTTTGGTGGACAGGAAGCACCTGAGGAGACGGAGTAAATGACAGAGTTCCTGCCCTTTTCTCTACAGGTAAATCTACAACCACACCGCCACCCACTAGCAAAGCCCCGCCCCCTGCCTCAGACCCCTTCCAGCTTGTGATCCAACTGGTGCGCCACCTGGTGGTGGTCTGCCCGTACGTCATCTCCACTGTCATCATGGTGTCTCTATATCGCCAAAGAGCCAAAGGTAAATGTTCTGATGTCACCTGCTTTAGTTACAGGAGGTTCAGTTCAGTTAAATCCTTATCTGATTGGATCACTCAGAGTGGGTGTGGCTTGAAGTCGGTTCATCTCCTGCACTTACAAAAAAATTAAGTAAAAAATAAACGACTTTTCTGACGTAACAAGAAAACACCTGGAGAATGTAAATGTGAACTCATTTCAAATAGAAGGTACAAATAAAGTTGGATTTTGAACCCAAACAATCTTCAGAAAGCCCATCAAAGCAAGATCATCAGTTTTTATTTCATATTGATTATATGTTATTGATCTGAGTGGATTAAACCTTTAACTGCTCCGTCTGCAGGAAGTGACCCGTCCGTCTCAGTGGCCACACCCACAACTGACCAAGCCCAGAGGGAATTGGCTGATGAGTATGATGTTATCGTAGAGGACCCCACCCTCTGAGCAGACGATGTTGTTGTTCATATAAAGGCTCTGTTCGTTCACACAGGAAGTGGATCCATGTCAAACAGCCTGTTTCAGTTGAATGTGTCAAAATAAAACGTCCTGACGGAGCTGGTTTAAAATAAAACGTGTCCAGACTTCAGACAGACTGAGTCTGAATTCATTCATTCACAGATCAGTTCAGTTCTAGCAAATTCAGACTTTTTTCAAAATAAAACAAAATGGCCGACTGAGGAACTGCATCCGACCACTGAACTCAAACCACAAACTATGAGCCATGGTGTCCTGTTGTTTGTTGTTGAGTGCTATGATCAGCTAGGTGTCATTGATTGTTACCATGGTAACACTGGTCTTAGACCGGAGTCAGTCTGGAGGTAAGGCGTCTGATGTTTTAGTCTTAAAATGAGTCAGTTTGTATTTTAGTTACTAACATCAGACTGATCTGGAACCAGCTCCAGGTCTCAGTCTGACAGGAAAACAAAAGGAAGCTTTATGATCCATGTGTTTCTCTGTGCACATCATTTGATTGATTTAATTATTGATTGATTGATTTAATTTGAGCGTGTCTCAGCTGTTTATTCACAGCTTCACTGGATTCATGTAGAAACTATTCTGGGAAATAAATTATTCACGTTCATGTTTCCTCAACTGTTAACAACAAGACAAAACATCACCAGTGCCAAGCTAGCTGTTTCCAGTCTTCATGCTAAACTAAGCTAAGCTAAGCTAACCAGCTGGCAGACTCTACCCAATCATGTGAAGAATCAGCACAACACATGCTCCGTTTGCAGCAATAATTTATTGAAGTGACTCCAGCACCTCGTCAGAGCCCAGAGGAGGAACTCTGAAGAACTTCTCAGGGTCTGTGACTCCTCTGAGGAGATTCTGTCCTCACCTCAGAAGATCCAAACGTTTGCAACGAAGCACAAAACTCAAACAAGTAAAACAACTCCTGTCCTATTAATCATCTTCAGATTCACCAACACCCCAAGGAACAGGTCTCTGGATGAGTCTGAGGGTCTGAGGGTCTGAAGGTCTGAAGGTCTGAAAGTCTGAGGGTCTCTGGATGGATCTGGTCTGAAGGTCTGAGGGTCTGAAGGTCTGAAGGTCTGAGGGTCTCTGGATGGATCTGGTCTGAAGGTCTGAAGGTCTGAAGGTCTGAGGGTCTGAAGGTCTGAAGGTCTGAGGGTCTCTGGATGGATCTGGTCTGAGGGTCTGAAGGTCTGAGGGTCTGAAGGTCTGAAGGTCTGAGGGTCTGAAGGTCTGAGGGTCTCTGGATGGATCTGGTCTGAGGGTCTGAAGGTCTGAGGGTCTCTGAATGGATCTGGTCTGAAGGTCTGAAGGTCTGAGGGCCTGATGGTCTGAGGGTCTGAAGGTCTGAAGGTCTGAGGGTCTCTGGATGGATCTGGTCTAAGGGTCTGAAGGTCTGAGGGTCTGAGGATCTGAGGGTCTGAGGGTCTCTGGATGGATCTGGTCTGAGGGTCTGAAGGTCTGAAGGTCTGAAGGTCTGAGGGTCTGAGGGTCTGAAGGTCTGAGGGTCTCTGGATGGATCTGGTCTGAGGGTCTGAAGGTCTGAGGGTCTCTGGATGGATCTGGTCTGAGGGTCTTGATGCTGACTGAGACGGGAAGTCTTGTCCTCATTCAGCTGTCAAACTACATTCATGTGTGTTGAGTTCATGAAGACAGTCTGTCTGGAGGTCAGAGGTCAGGAAGGGTTTGGTGGACTCTGTTGCTATGCTGACGAAGTAGCTGTCACTCAAACAGAGGAGGCGGCGGCGACAGCATGATGTCACTGGTTACCGCAGAAACACCATGGTGAGAAGACCTGAGGGAGAGAGAGAGACAGTGATTCGCTCCTTATGTCCTTGTTTCCTTTTCCAACTCCTCCTTTATTTAACTATCCTTACAGGTGTGTGTGTTTCAGGTGTGTGTGTTACAGGTGTGTGCGTTTCAGGTGTATGCGTTTCAGGTGTGTGCGTTTCAGGTGTGTGTGTGTGTGTGTGTGTGTGTGTTTCAGGTGTGTGTGTTACCCAGTGTGTGAGTTTCAGGGGTGTGTGTTACAGGTGTGTGTGTTTCAGGTGTGTGTGTTTCAGGGGTGTGTGTTACAGGGGTGTGTGCTTCAGGTGTGTGTGTTTCGTGTGTGTGTGTTTCGTGTGTGTGCGTTTCAGGTGTATGTGTGTCAGGTGTGTGTGTTACCCACTGTGTGTGTTTCAGATGTGTGAGTTTCAGGGGTGTGTGTTACAGGTGTGTGTATGTGTGTGTGCAGGTGTGTGCATTTCAGGTGTGTGTGTTTCAGGGGTGTGTGTTACAGGGGTGTGTGTGTTTCAGGTGTGTGTGTTACAGGGGTGTATTTTTCAGGTGTGTGTGTTTCAGGTGTGTGAGTTACCCAGTGTGTAGGCGCAGGCCAGTTTCTGATTGGTGGAGACGTGCAGGCAGCATGGAACCACCGAGCTGCTCTCAGTGTGGAGGGGGAGCATCAACACTGCGACACACAGCACTGCCACCATCACACACACTACCCACTGAGATACACTGCGCACAGCTACACACACACACACCCACACAGTACAAATAAAGAAATACTGATTGATAAAAAACAAGTGTCAACTACAAATCCCAGAGAGCATTGGTGTAAGAACCGTCCAATCAGAGAGCTTCAGACTCAGAGTGAAGGTCTCCAAAGCAACAGCCGCTGAGGCTCATGGGTACTAAGGTATTATATTCTTCCTCTCTCCCCTCCTGTCTCCTCCTCTACCTCCTGTCTCCTCCTCTCCCTCCTTGTCTCCTCCTCCCCCTCCTGTCTCCTCCTCTACCTCCTGTTTCCTCCTCTTCTCCCTCCATGTCTCCTTGTCTCCTCCTTTCCCTGTAGGAGCTGACTGATGTCTCCTCCCTGTGGGTCAGTGAGGAGTCTCACCTGAACAGGTAGGCAGCTGCAGGTGTGTTTGTGTCGGCACCAGGAGAGGAGACAGAGGAGTCAGCGCCCTCTGCTGGCCTCCTCCTCCCTTACTCCTCCTCCTTCTCTCCTCCTCTTCCTCTCCTCCTCCTCCTCCTCCCCCCTCCTCTCCTCCTCTCAGCTCTGCCCAGATCTCCCGTTCTCCCATCTGACCCCCTCCTCTGACTTCCATGCGGAACCGGTCTCTGCGGCTCCAGTTCCGAGGGGAGACGTCCAGGTGACGCACCACCCTGCAAGGAAGAGGAAGTGATGTCATAGTTTGTGAACTGCTCTCTAATGATCAGAGCTTTATACAGCTCAGCGCTCGTGAAGTCGACGGTGACGATCTTTTCTCCTTAGAGCTGACGTTAGTTTATGGTTTGAGTTTGAGCTTGTTTCTCCTGGAGAACAGAAGCAGCTGATTGGTCGTCTCCAGGTCGTTTCCCGCTCGTGTTGTTTGTTATTTCTCGACCTCAGTGTTTGACTTCATGAACGAGATCAGTCGCAGTTTAATACTTACAGGTCGACACAGGACTGGGCTCGGACGCCCCCCTCTGCCTCCACCACTCTGTAGAGCGAGGGAGCAGTACACAACACTGAGGAGAGAGAGAGAGAGAGAGAGAGAGAGAGAGAGAGACAGAGAGAGAGACAGAGAGAGAGAGAGACAGAGAGAGAGAGGGAGAGAGACAGAGAGAGACAGAGAGAGAGAGAGACAGAGAGAGAGACAGAGAGAGAGACAGAGAGAGAGACAGAGAGAGAGAGAGACAGAGAGAGAGACAAAGAGAGAGACAGAGAGAGAAAGAGAGAGAGAGAGGGAGACAGAGAGAGAGACAGAGAGAGAGAGAGAGAGACAGAGAGAGAGAGAGACAGACAGAGAGACAAAGAGAGAGACAGAGAGAGAGAGACAGAGAGAGAGGGGTTATCTCCTGCAGAGTCAGCAGACAGACAGACAGACAGTTAAACAGACAGACAGACAGTTAGACAGGCAGACAGACAGACAGTTAGACAGATAGACAGACAGACAGTTAGACAGACAGGCAGACAGACAGTTAGGCAGACAGACAGACAGACAGTTAGACAGACAGACAGACAGACAGACAGTTAGACAGACAGGCAGACAGACAGACAGACAGACAGTTAGACAGACAAACAGACAGACAGACAGTTAGACAGACAGACAGTTAGACAGACAAACAGACAGACAGACAGTTAGACAGACAGACAGGTACTGACTCTTGAAGCTGATCCTGAATCTGTAGGGGTTGTACAGAGTTAAAACTCTCCTGTGTGAGTTTCTCTGTCCAGAGTAGAACACCAGCTCAGAGGGGAACAGGAAGACAGGCAGCGGGGGCACCACAACTGACTCACCTCCTGTCTCCCCCCTCTCCACCTGTCTCACCCCCGCCTGGCCTATGTCCCTTCTCCTAACCCCCTGCTCCGCCATCCCACCCTGTCCCTGTCCGTCATGGCTGTCCCTGCTCCTCATTGGTCCGCCCTGCGTGGTGCCCCACCCGCCGCCATGATCCGAGTGCTGTCATTGGACGTCTTGAAGTGTGATGTCACAGCATCGCCGCTAGCTGCAGAGAAGTGAAAAATTAAAGATAATATTACCATAAATGACAATTTTTCATGTTATTTTTCACATTTTCATCACGAAAAAAAGTATTTTAAACTGCTACTTTTAATAGACTTATCATTTTAAATACAACATATAAAAAACAAATAATAAAATAATAAAAATAATAATAATAATAAATAACGACAAACATTTACTGTTTCTTAAATGTGAGGATTTGATGCTTCTCAGTTTTCTATCACAATAAACTGAATCTCTTCGGACATGATGAGACGTCAGCCCGGTCTGTGACGTATCAGGCATTTATTACTATCTTCAGATTTAAAGTTTCGTTTGGAGGCAACAGAAAGACGCTGTAAAAATCCTTAAAAACCTCCTCATGGAGACACAGGTGACTCAAACCTACACGCCACAGAACAGACACAAACTGAATCACTGTGTTTTTTCTGTTTATTTCCTATTATTCCATTTTAAGGAAGTAAAATGTGGTTGAGTTTTCTCTCCTGACTCAGTCTGTAATATCATGCTTTATATGTAAGTTTTTACAGGCACTTTAACGCATTCATTGTTTATTTACTGTAATAAAATCTATTAAAAACAGAAGAAAACTGTCTGTTTTTATTTCGGTGAGGTTAGCTAATGCTAGCTGCTCCGTCACACTGACCCGCAAAATAATCGTTAAAATAACGGAAACACGGCTGAGCAGAAAACACGAGCAGCAGCTGGAAAAGTCCATCGGTTCGTTAAGAGTCCTCAGACTGAGTCAGAACCAAGGTAAACCCAGTAGAAACCACAGTTTAGTTTATCTACTCACCGCCGGCTGTTTCTACTTCCTCAGCAAGCTGTTGCATTTGACAGCTCCCGCCCAATCTGGAACTCTCAACCAATCACTGTGCAGGAAGTGACACCACTGGCTTTCTATTGGACGAGAGTCACGTCAGTCACGTTCGTGTTTTGACGCTTTGTTTACATTGTTTATTACTACAAATGTTTGACTTATAAATTAATAATATTTAATTAGTTAACTAAACACATGATTTGAATCAATTATAATTATTAGAATTGACAAGTATTTAGTTTTAGAAATAATACATTTTATTAAGATTAGATTAATTTCATCTGATTTACACTGACACTTGGATATAATCTATGATACCAGATAATTTATAGTTTGTTTAACTTCTTACTAGCTTCTTATTTATTTTCTATCACTTAAATTTCAAATGTTTATGCATTTATGTATTACTTACCTCTTGATTGGGTCGTATCAGTATTTATTTTTATAATAAGATTTAATGAGTTTTATTTAATGTAATGTTAATGAAAAAATTGTTTAAACGTTAATTCAATTAGTGAAGAACACTTTATTTGATCACCTTGGACTTGTGTACATTTTGGAACATTTATTGATTAACATTAATTTTTTTAATTTCTTTAAATTTATTTGGGTTGTGCTGGAACTGCTGTTGCTTTCAAATACTGTCGGATATATAGGTACTACGCAGGTTACAGTAAAAGAATACAGTAAGTTGTGGAAGGAAATCTTTCTGTTTTAGTTACTGAACATATTAGAGATGTTTTTTTTAATGTTGTTGGGTTTCTAAATTGAATACAGGCTTGAATATGTTCAATGTGTGTATTAATGTAGAATTTCGCTAATAAATACAAATAAAAGAGTAACAATAGTGGCTGCACAACTAAAAGCAAATTTAATGTCATTGTTAATTCTTAAACTCTTTTATATCTATGTAACAGCCTGAATAAAATATCTTTAAAATGCATGACAAGACACATTTACGAGACACGGCCATATGTACGAGCTACTATAGGGACCCTGAAGGCAGCATAACAATCGCCTCTGTTCGTTGATGTTCGTGCTCCTCGACTTCGCCAGCTGATTGGTCCACCGGCCTTCGTGTCTCCGGACGTGCCCGCACCAGAGAGTCACCTTGCCCCGGCTGCTGCTGCTGCTGTACCGGTGAGAGAGCAGGTGGACCGTCCGGCCCAGAGGCACACAGGCAGCGGGAATCTGACCAGGAACTCTGCGGCAATTGACCGACCGGGGCAAATATGGCGGACGCAAAGCCCAAAACCTCTCCAAAGTCCATCAAGTTTCTGTTCGGAGGCTTGGCCGGGTAGGTGCTGCTGCTGCTAGCTGTCATGCTAACTTGCTAATGTCAGTGGAGCTGCTGCTAACAGAGCGCGAACACACCGCAACGTTATTCTGGTGAAATCCGCGTTTGAAAAACAACGTATTGTCTGGTTTATAATAAAACACCCGGGCTGTAATGGCCCAGTGAGGCCGCCCTGATTGTTGCCTTGTTAGCTGCTAATGCTAACGCCCCGTGACGGTGTTACGGCGAAATCTGTTCCCCTATCGATTTGTGTCCACCGATAACAACATGAAGCGACGCTCAGCCCTGAACCCAGCTCGTGACCCCTGCGACAGCTAATTAAAACCCAATATCAACCAGAACTAATCCGTGGAGTAACAGCGGAGGACGTTATTTGTAGCGGAAACAGTCTGCGACAACTCCCCGGTGTTACGAAGAATGTTGCACCCTCTCGGCATCTGCCCCGCTAGTCTTCTCCATCCTTCTGCAGTGTTATCGTTTAATTAGTCCGCCTTTAATGAATATAATAGAGGAGAGAGGGGCTCTGTCTGCAGTGAAAAGTATTAAAGTGTCCTGTCTGGAGTTTAATGTGGCCACAGTGTTAGTCGGTGTTACCTGTTAACGTGAAGGCTAATGCTAATGCTAGTTGTCAGAGGCAGGTAATGCAGTTATCTGAATGAAACATGTAATTCAGATTACCACATGTAAAACTGAATTTGAACACAACACGCTGACTTCAGACCAGCATACTCAAAGTTTTACTGCACGGTCAAAGTGGAGATTAAACATGAGGAGTTTGTCACAGTTAGTCACTGAACCCAGTTTCTGTATCAATATAAAATGTATCTTTGTTTTTCAGTCAGTTGCTGTTTCTTTTCTTATCCAACAGTAAATTGTGTATTTTGGGGTTTTGGAAGTTTCAGTCTCTGGAGCTCAGAGAGACCATCAGGTTCTTGGTCTCCTCTGACGCCTCAGTTAGTCCGGGTCCAGCTCTAGAAGAGTCCTGGTTCTTCCAGGCGCCTCGACACAATCCTGTCTGAGCTCTGCAGCAGCTCCTTCACCTCACGGGTTCTGCTCTGCTCAGCTGTGAGACCTTGTAGAGACAGGTGTGTGTCCAGCTGGGTTTACCACAGGTGGACTCCAGTCGAGGTGTAGAGACATCTCAGAGATCATCCAGAGAGATGGAGGAACCTGAGCTGAACTTACAGAGTCACAGTGAAGTGTCTGAATACTTCTTTAATTCATTTTTCACTCTGTCGTCATGGAGAATTGAGTGAAGACTGATGAGGGAAACATGTAGTTATTTCCTCATCGGGCTGCAACATAACAACATGTGACAGAAGTGAAGGGGTCTGAAGACTTTCTGAATGTTCTGTGCTCCACACTCACAGCATCACCAAACGCCTCTGACTGACCGGCCTGCAGAGAGAAAATGAACCCGACAACAGCCCGTTAATTAATGTTAACCTCGTTAGTATGCGTAACAACAAAACTAATGAAAATGCAAATATTAAGATAAAGAAAAGAAAAGACACCAAACAAGACGTGAGAAATGGGGCTGATTCCAGTGTTTGACCTCCTGCTGCAGCGCCCCCTGCTGTGTGGACGCTGGCGCCTACAGTTTATTTATGTGTACAACAAGTTGCTCATTGACCAAAACTAAGGTTTTATCTCTTTTATCTCTGTTGTCTTGGTCTTAATTCTATTTTTACTACAAACATTTCACAGCTTTTAGAAACTTTTAACGTTTTATTTAATCTCCAAAAACATTTACTGTCATAGCAACAAGAAAAAGTTTAATTATACAATAAAAAGTTTTAAACTTACTTTTTACTGTGCTTCTACATTGAGTGGTGCACATGTTGTCTTCAGTTGAAGCCTGTGACCGTGGTTCTGTGATGTCTGCATGACATTTACTCAGCTGTGAACACAGCTTTTTAAAAATATACACTCATTTTTTACAGTGTAAAAAAAAAAGAAAAAGAAAGAGACTTCACACTGTACAGAGACACACTGACATTTCCCTCCATGTGTCTGTCACAGCAGCTGCATGTCTGTCCTTTAAATGTCATGACCCCCCCTCAGCTGTGCACAAACTTTAAAACATCTCAGGAGCGTGCACGTTGCCCATGCACGCCCTTCGAGGAGTGTGCACGAGACCTTAACATGTCCGTGGCTGTGAGGGACAGCTGCTGGTGTCTGACGCTGAGAAAGTGTGACGGATATAAACTACAGCTCATGATTGATTAATTATCAATCAATCTATCAGTTATTATTATTATTACTATTATTATTATTATTATTTGATGATCGTTTTGTCTATAAAAACCCAGTTAATAGTAAAATGTCTCGTTCAATTAAAATCGTGTGTGTGTGTGTGTGTGTGTGTGTGTGTGTGTGTGTGTGTGTGTGTGTGTGTGTGTGTAAGTAACAGTAACAGTGAGGCCTCACTCTGTCACTTTCTTGAACAAAAAGTTTCAGCAGGTTTTTCATGTGGATCAGTGGCTCATAAAATCATGTGATTGAGACATGTTTGTTCACCAACTGGATTATGATCATTTTGACCCCCAGTGCATCATGGGACCAGTTAATCTGATCATAAACATGAACACACGGCTGTTATTAACACAACAGTGAATAGTTCAATGTGGAAGCCGCAGCAGTTTCACCTCCAGTCTTTTCATTGTCAGGATTGGGGGCGTC